ACCAGTACCATCCTGAATCATCTATAATGATGGAGAAAATTGAAAATTTTGTAACGTGTAACATTCGAAGTTTGATTGTGCGACACGAAAAATGTAACAAAAATTTGACCAATAGGCTTACAGCGTTGACGAGACGGTTTTTCTTCTGGCACGGTAGTAAGTTTGATTGGCCTAGTTTACATCGATCCCTTGATACGCGTATACCCCCAATCTATCAGACCTGTAATTAATATTATATACCATTGAAAACATGCTAAATTATATAAGTCATACGCCGCGGTGTCGGAAGGTCAAAACGCACACAAGGATTGACGGTAATGCGTATGTCGTATCCGTTGCATTGAGAAAAAAGTGATGAAATACTTTTTTTTTTCTTTTTCCAGTTATCCGAGAATCTGACTCGTTTGATTTATCGCAACGCAAAAAGAACAAATGTATTGGTAAGATAAAAATAAATAAAACACACGACCGCGATAAATACGCGATACTTGGATGTCCAATTTTTGGCGAAGGAACCGAATATATAGAAATGAAAATTTCTGCTTTATATGCATTATGTATAATAGAATTTGATTGAAATAATTATCAAATTAATTTATTTCTTCACCAAGACTCGTTTGCGACAGAGATTAAGGAGATGCTAAAGTGATTCAATTACCGACAATTACAGTCAAAGGTCTAATTTTGAAACGGCTCTATAGATCGGAAAATCCTTTTACAGGAATAAAGTATAGGTACTAATGAAGGGTAGAAATGTAAAATAATTAGTAATAATTGAAAAAAATTAAAAATGTTGTTACCTCATTTTCTAATATAAACAGTTGTATAAGTAATATATACGAAATAAAATGTTTCCACCCTTCAGAAGACGTGTACAAATAATAACGTATCTTTGAAATTGAGATTGAAAGCTTGGAATAAAAATGAGACGTTCGAAAAAATTATAACCTATAACCATGTCTATCCTTGTCCATCATCATTGTCTATACAAAGACAGATATAGAATTTGGTCGGTAATGCAAACGGCTTTAGGACCACCTTAAAATAAACGATCTCATGCATATCGATGCAAATGAATAATTTACATCAAAGACTTGAAAATATATTTAACATTTGTACTTACAATGAGCGTATAAAGATCCTTATACCACGATAAGTACACACGTACAAGGTTAATCCAAATCTTGGCGGGAAAATCGATGAAATCATAGAGCACGAGAGCTGAATTTGAGTGTTTACAGAGCTTACATCGCAATGCGCACACAAGTGTACCACGCCAACTGTACGTAATACGTCCTATAATTGAATTTTAATTATTTACGTCTCCAAGAGCCTTTTACACATCAAATGTATATAGTGTTTACACATCAAACGATAAATCAATTAATAATGGTTTAGATAATTGTAATCTACCTTTTGAAGGGGTCGATGCGGACGACGTTACGGTATTCGCTGATGACGTGGTGGTCGTTAGTAGATTATTAGAAACCGACGATGCACGAGTGGAGAATGCACTGCTCGTAAGTGCAATTGAATTCTTTCCACTTTGCAAAAGATTCGACAAAGTGCCGCTTGTCGCTGTAGGCTTACTACTTCCCACTATTTAATTAAAAGAAACAAAAAATTAATAAACACAAGTACCATTTTATTATTCTTCTACTGATAACGTTAATTAATTATACGTATATCTTACCTGTCGGAATTGCATTAACTGTAATTTGATTCCCCGTGGGCTTGGTGAAAACGTTCATCAATTTTGTGTCTCCACTTTTGTCAGGAGTATTAACTTGTCTGTAATTGTTTGCGACTATATTCAAGTAAGACTTATTAAAAGATATCGTTTTCATTTTTAAAACATTTCGCAGCGGCACATTCGAGATGATTTTCGACGGCACTTTAACGGTCATAGCTGAGGATTTGGATGCATTAGGTGTTCTGGAGAAAGTGGTCGTCGATTGACTCACTGTAGTGGGTGCTAAACGTATCGGCCCTATCGGCGCCAGACTCGCTAGTGTGCCAATATTGAGCGTTATGCCATTTTCTGAATTAATATTTGTCTGTAACAAGTAATATTTAGCATAATCTATATGGAAATAATTATGATTATTATTAGTATATTATTTGTAGTATATTGTATAATATAAATGTCTCATCGACCATTATAGCTCATAGCATATTATCTAATACATATGTATCACGTATTGTGCATTGTGTGACAATTACCTGTCTGGCAAGTCTAGGAGTCTTCAGTTCTGAGAACTGATTTTTCTGATTGTTCGTGGGCCGCTTCCATTTCGCGGTGGAAATATGATTTGTATGTTGCCCACTTACTTGCGTCAAATTGGATTGGATATTGAATACACCGATTTTAGGAGCCGAGCTCGATGCCACGTTTATTCCAACCGATAGCGCGGAAGATATCGGCGTGGTCGGCCGAGATTTCTTCACGGTCGGTAAGTTAGGTTCGCTTTCCACGGAACTGCTGGTCAAGTTCTTTCGTTTGTGAAAGTCCTTTTTGTTCTTGCTGTCACAGTTAGTCTTCATTGTCAGTTGCAGCGGTAATGGATGCGATTGCAATAGCATGCTACCGATGAAATCTCCAATCTCGTCCAATACGCATCTGTCCACCATGCTCTGCGCGATGCCCTCGAGCACCTTTTTAAACGTGGATATTCTGAGATGATTGTCGGCCGTACCCACAACCACCAGACTTGTCTCGATCAGCATTTTCTCACAGAGTTCCTCTAAATCGTCCGGTCTAATGAGAGTGGCGTTTTGCCCAATAATGAACATGACGGGACAGCGAATGTCCGTTAACATATCATCAGGTGTGTTTCGTTTTCCCTCGACCGTTGTGAAAGGAAATCCAATGCAGATAACAGCAGTTACGTGTTCTATCTGAGCCATCTACACTGCAAAGTAAATAAAGTCAATAGACCTTCCACGTTTTTCTTCAGCTAAACTTTTTGCACAGTTCATCTTTCTTCTTTTTTTTCAAGTTGAAGAAAAAAAGTGCAAAGATGAACTGTGCGAGAAATTTAGCTAAATAAAACAAATCTAAGAACAATTGGAAGAAAAATTGATGTAAGATGTACAAAAGTGATTTTACCTGACAAGCAAGCGCTGCGCCAGCGGTGAAATCTACGAGTATGATCGGCCTACCAGGACAGTCACTTCTGACATCTTATATTTTAACTCTTGTGGCCTGAACCAATTGATTCATGCACACCATCATAGTCATTCTGTTGGCTGCCAAACTCATGTGAGTGTGAACGGTAGCGACCATGCCTAACAATCCCAACTGCGTGATCCATTTATGCTGACGAGACGAAACGGATGCCGACGCGATGCCGGAAGGTACTACTACTACTACTATTAAGATTGGATTTCCGGGCAATTTCTTCTGCAATCAATTACGTTATTTCCCGTCTTACATTACTAGACCTATATAATGTACGTTAATGATCAAGTTATATTTACAAGTCTATTTCCGCTCAAATTCTGCGCGACTGGATCCCAAGATCGTTTTAAGAGTGATCCGAGCGTTTCCCACGTTATAAAGCCGTTCTTAGCGCTAATATTCGGTTGCACAGCGATCATCTTATCGATTAGCTGAGAAATTTTCAGTCTCAAGGTCTGTAAGATATCGAGATAAATGGCTAAATATTCTTAGGGGAGACGCTCGAACAGCAAATTGTGCAGCCATTGAACCAGTCTCCAGTCCCATCCGGTCGAGGCTAACGTTTCGCGAAATCTCCTTGCTGCGATATCCACCGACGTTCTTCGAAAGTTCGGTTCCGTTACGCTCTTAGCCTTGGCTAATCTTGCGAGTCTTTCCAAACTTAATATCTGTGTCACTTTGGTAAATATCCGATTCTGAATCGGAGACCACAAGGTTTTCTTCATTTTCTCCTCCCAATCCTCCTCCTCGGATCGCGCAAAATTCGCTAACCGTTCAAACTCAGCCATCATATGCTAAACTCTGATTGAATCAAAAGGCAGTGACGATGGTTCGCTATCAATATTTTCCACGTCGATTTCCTCATCCTTTCTGTGTTTATCACCAAGATGGAAGAAATAATATAATAAATCCATTGTTACGTCTATTTTGTATCCTTCCATATTTAAGCAAAAATCAAAATAAGTTAGACGTTATAAATAATCATACCTCACAGTGTTCTTTGAGAAAAACAGCTTTTTTATAGGCTTTACATAAATATTTTCTGGTTTCCAGTTCCAAAGTCGAGCATAGCAATGATCTTTGAATATCGCATCACTGTCCATCTCGTATCTTTCAGCTACTTGATGTAGGTATGCCGTCAATTTGTTCGAAATGTCGTCAAACGTATCAGTAGTTGGACTTGGTAGTTCAGAACTGCTTGCAGAGGTGGACGGTGTCATAAGCATGAACATTAATATTATGCTATCTTAAATTAGATCGGATAGTAATCGAGATAAATATCTATTCACTCGACATCTTCAAATTTCTTTCAAATATCGTATTATGTCATTACAATGTCATTATTATATTGTATAAAACATTAAAATTTTCCTCTTTCTCTCTTTTTCTTTCTCTTTCTCGGTTTGTCCCTAAAACAGAAATTTTTTAATTATATCTTGTATATGTAAATTTAGGTAGGTGTGTGTTTATATTATTGTTACACAAACGAACGTTAATTATAAAATATTAAGTTTGATCTTTTTAGTTGAACTTTTTGCACGGTT